TCAAGCAGCATGAAATCGCTGCTTGTGGGAAGAGAGATTTCAGGCATCACTTGCTTTAAAAAAAGGAAGCAACCATCATGAAGTCCTCCCCTTTCCCCTAATCTGAAAGTATCAATTATGCACAAATGGACACCAAACCCAAATACCAGGGATGACATAGATACTTATCCACTAGAAATCTGTATTCTCTTTCTCAATTAGAATGCTAGTTTGACAGATGCCTCACTAATATTCTAGGAATCTAGGTATTTGTTCATAACCTCTGCTCTAACCACAGGCAACAACCATATTTCAACAACCTTCCCTTTATTTTTAACAACCTTCCCTTGCAACAGCAAGGACACCTGCAGTGAAATGAGGACAAGATTCTATTGCTGTATAAAATCAAGGGAATACAAGCTGCTCTTAAGTAATGGACTTCTGTATTACAAAAGTCAAAGTCCATTATACAGGTCACTTCCAATGTTGGAAAGAATAATAATAATAATAACAATCCTTGTATTTGATATAGCGCTGTTCATATCGTCAAGACATCTCAAAGCACTTTATAGAATATACTGTAAATATATAAATGTAAATATATGAATAGGAGAGAGAGGATGAGAATTCACCCATTGGCTGTAGCTTGGAATGTGCCATTGGCAGAAAGGTTCAAAGCAGTTGTTGTTACCATTGCAAGATGGCAGTTTTATTTGCTATTCTGGGCTCCAGACCCTTCTGCAACAGGGTGCACGGATCAGTGACCATTTGGCACATGAGCACTACCACAGGAATGGTGCCCTGCCTCAGTCCACAAAGTCTAGCAGGAATGTCTTTGATGCGCTGTGTGACGGTGGTGTCATATTGCTCCCTATCTAAACATTTTCCCTCAGTTCACCATCTAGTGCAATGCTGTGTTCCCATAACATCGCCCCAAATAATAATGCTTTATAATCCTTCCATTGGTGTGCGCCTTTCACATTGGGAAGACATCTGAAAGTGTTTCACAGAATTCACTGTTAAGTGGAGTAAATGTGTTTTGCGGGTGAATGTGGCATCCAATTTGCACAGAGCAGTGCCTCACAAACAGCCATGAAGTGAATGATTGATTTTATTTGGGGGATTATTGGCCAGGACACCGGGAGAAACTCTCCTCTTTTTGTATAGTATTTTAGGATCTTTAGCATTCACCTGAACAGATAGGTGAGAACTTGGTTTAACATCTCACCCAAATGACACCTCTGCAAATGCAGTGCTCTCCATCGAGTATCAGCCTAGACTGTGAGTTTCCAGTCTCGATGTGGGGCTTGAATACATTATTCTCCACTGCAAATACAGAGAGAAGCACCTAGAGGGTGGAACAATCTATTCAATCAATCCTGTGAATACAATCAGCAAATGTAAATCTTTTGTTTTTTAACTAAGGTGATCAACATAGGTGGTTTATGTGAGCAGAATGCTGACATATTTCATACTAACTGAAACCTCTCAAGCTCATACTACAGTATTCAGAGTAGTTTTTAACCCAGCCAATCTGTCCCTAAGTAACCCCCCCCTCACCCCCCCCCACACACACACAATTGCTCTGAAGCTGTATATTCTGGTCCCACTCTCAGCATATATGAAAGTATTGTCCATGTTTAGATACCCATTTAGAAGGATTATTATTATGAGGTACACTCTCAGACATCTGTTTTCAAAGGTGAACTCCTCTAGGTTTTCTCAGTGTTCCTTATATCTCATCCGTCTAATACAGGTGTGTCACCTTTGGATTAGAAGATAGTGGGTTTAAAATTCACATCAGGAACCTGGAGCTCACAATAGACCCTCCAGTGCACCATTGGGGAAGCACTATATTTTGGCACTCTGTCCTTCAGAAAGATGCTAAACCAAGCTCCTGTCTGCCTGTTCGGATGGACGTAAAATAATCCATGACTTTGTTCCAAAAAAGAGAAGGGAGTTTCTCTGGTGACCTTGCTAGGAATCCCTTAGTTAATTTGTCATTTATCTCTTTGCTGTTTGTGGGACATTGCTGTGTGCGAATTGACTGTTATGCGTGCCTATAAATACAATCAACACACTTTACAGAAAAAACTCTATAAAGTGCTTTGAGACATTTCAACGTGATCAAGTGCTATATCGAAAATAAAGGATTATTGTACTGGGGATCAATCTCAATGTCATCTGGACTAACTCTAGATCTGAGTGCCTTGTCCCTCTCATTATGTCACAGTCATTAGAACTGCACACAATACCCCAGGTGTGGCCTCACTGTTAATTTTCAGTCTGACCTCTGAGAAGCTGAACTGAACTGATTCAGCAATATAGTCCATTCCGTGTTTGCGTTGTTTATTGTTTCATCACATTGTTCCCACATATTGAGCAATGAGTCAACTAACACTCCTAGGTCTCTTTCAACTTCCCCCTTGCCAAGTTCTATCTTGTCCACGGAGTACACGTGCCTTCTATTTTTACTTTTATGTGCAATACCTTGTGCTTATTTCTATTGAACCATCTAGGTGGGTGTCCTGTGAAGTTCTCTTTGTGGGAGCTGCTTTTAATGTAACTCAAAAAACAATGATAGGAATCTAAGAGTTCAAATAAGATGGTAACACAAAGAGCCAGGACAGTGGAGGATGCAGATTTAACCTCCTATATTGGGGTTAAATCTGATGAGTTCCTGATGTTTGTTGTTCTTGTATGGGACGTACCAAACAGCTCTCTGCAGAGTAAGAGTCCCATCCTATGGCTGCTGGGGTTCTCCTAACAGCTGCTTAACAGTTCCTTGAGCAGAAGTAAAGTATTGTATCATGTCCCCCCACCCCATCTCCTCCTACTGCCTTACTCAACCACAGGACTATGGGGCTGCAGATAAAAATAGAGAAATTAAAAATTTGCAGGCAAAAATGAAATATGCTCAAATAAGGAAAAATAAATCAGAGGGGAAAATTCCACTATCCACTCTCTACCATTACATTTTCTTGCAAGGTGACTGTTCCAATGATATCAGCTGACATCACAGCTGTGTTGGATTTCAAAGGTGAGTAAAGATATGAAACCTGCTGAAGTGCAACTTCTGAAATGCCCTGATATATACATCAGTATGTATCAGTTCCTTTCCAGTCAGGTTCAGCATCAGCAGTTAATACAGTATGTCAGAAACATACGGGTGAAGTCTGCTTTCCTCAGCCTGTATTATGATGCACTACCACCCTGTTTCACTTACTGTGCTCTATTTTAGTTTTAAATTATGATATTATTTTAAAGCAGTTGCTAATCTCCCCTTTAAATAGAAATTAACCCACCATTGAGTTTAGAGATTATAGCATCACTGAGTTATGTTTCCTGGCAAATTTAAAATATTCAGCCTCGATTGAAAACAGGAAATTCATTGTGTATGAAGAAGTCACTTGAATGAAATGCAGTGAGAAGAGGGGAGTGGGGGGAGGAGGGTTGGAGAGCAAACTAAACATTTTAATGTGATAAGCTTGGTGAAACATTCAAATCAATCCTGGTAATTGTTGATTTCTATCCAGACCAAAAGAGAAAATGCATTTTTTTTAAATGAAAGAGTGAAATGAGTGACCCTGTGGGTAAATGTTAAGCTCTCTGCTTATTGCTTTGTGACCCTCCCCACCTGCCCCATCCCCAAAATCCTCTCTTACTAGCCAGCAGAATGCACATGTCACACTCACCCTGGCACGCAGAGACTGCAGACTCTCACAGGATAACTCATGTTTGCACACAAACGTAACTGCCAGTTTGAGCTGGTGTCAACTGTCTTAATGCTGCTTACTAATGTTACAGTTGTTTTGCTGTTTAGTTTTCTGCAGATAAATGCCCATTTAAAATCAAACAGTCAATAAGTAATTATTCTGATCTCCTAGAAATCATGTACATTTCAAAACTTCAAATGACGATGGATATGGTGGTCTTATTCTGGCCAAAGGTGAAAATCAACAAAATAGTCCTGAAAAATGACATGAAAGTGAAGTAAAATGAATGATCGCTGACTTTGTGCAAATAACAAGTGGCAGTTTCTTGATATTTTACCGTACACTGTATGTGAAGAGGAAATTTCCTAAACATTTGCAAAGTAATAATCTGGAACTGTTACGACCTGCAGTACTTGCCTTTGCATAGTTTTGGAGAGGAAACAGATGTGTGCATGATTATTGTGATGAATAAATCTATGAATATATAAATAAACAGAACATTATGTTCCAATGCTCAGCAATTTTGCTATTCAATACTTTTTCCAAAGAATTTCTTGCGGGTTTTCATAAGGACAGTACTTGCACAGCAATTGCAATTCAACGCAGTGGTTGTAGATCTGCAAGGCCATTTGGAATGAGTGACAGGATGCAGCTGCCACCTAATATCATGATCTGGCCATGTTGCCAATACACTATTGTGGGGACACTGCGTCAGATGCAAATGAATGATGCATTGCAGTAAACAGCACCTAACCAATTTGAAATTTGTCATGCTATCTCTATGGGAGTGTGAATAAAATGTCTTATTTATAAAATCATGTCTAGGGGGCATGGCAGAGAAATTCCACTTAGTTCTACATTTACTCAATTTATGTAGCATTATAGGTAACTTTCCCACTCCCTCTCCCAATGGCTCGAGGTCAGATTCCGCCACTGTCAAGCACTCAGGGACTCTAGCCCGCGTGAAGGGTGCTTTATAAATGCAAGTTGTTGTTGTTATAGAGCATCCACAATTTAGCAAATTGTTAATTCCAGTCTTAACTTCAACGTCAGTTTCCTGTGGTTTGTTAAATGAACTTACGGAAAAGCAGCTTCAAAATGAAGGCTGTACTTTAGAATTTGTCACCTGATATAGTCTGTGACATACTACATAAATAGAGTAAATCTATACCCACGTGGAATTTCTCCCCACAAATCCTTAAGAGATTATTGCTACCAATCTGCATTTAATTCAAATAAGTTTTTTTTAATACATTTCATATTCGCCTTGCCCAGAGTGAAAAGAGAGAAATGAAAGTAAATATATAAAGACAGTGAGAATTTTAATATTACAGTGGAGAAGAATACAGGATGTACATAACAGGAAGAAAAATTATATTTGAACATAAAAGAAAGCTACAAATAACAGCCATTGACAAAAAAAGAAGCTTCTATATGTAAATGATTCAATCTTTGCAGAAATGTTGATTTGTTTTCTTTGGTTTGAATGAAGTGAAGATGCTATTTTACAATAAATAGCATTTCTGTTTTCCTGGCTGATATTGTAACCTTCATTCTTGCAACTCTTAAGAAGCAGAACGAAAAACGTGAAATTCAAAGAAAAAAGATTCAAAATACAATGAAAGTAAAGAAATAATAAAAGCGTGAAGAAGTCTCAGAGCAGAAAAGTTGTGAGCGCATAATCTGAGGTCAATGCAAAGCGATCTGAATTCTAGTGGGTGTATATACCCTTTGTGTTGCTGCAACCTTCAGATTAGTAATAAGCAGAATTCATTCAATCCTTACACATTGTGCATACAAAGGAAAAACCCAAACTTGCCAAATATTATACCTTGAACCATGTTCAGGAACTCCCGCCCCCATTACCTCATCATCAAACTGTGCAACATTTCCCAGACTCCTTCCTTTTCCAATGAACATCATATAATTCCTTCTGTGTAATCACAGAGAAACTCAATCGCCATGCATTCAAATTGATCCGCATGTTTCATTATTTTGCAAAACCTACTTTAACTTTCATCCAGATTTCCCTGCTTATTCCTTTCACATCATTGAGTGTCTGAAGACCTGTAAATTTCCATTAGCTAACTCAGATTTGCCGAAGACTATTCAGAGAAACTAATAATCATTGCATAATCTTTGCTCTCCTTTTTATGTCATGATAACCCTGCCTTTTAAGGCAATGTACTTCTGGACTGGAATTTCTTTTCTCTGCCCAGCACGTCATATGAAAATGAGGCAACATATTTAAAAAAGAACAGAGCTGGGATGACTTATGTTCTGTTTCAAAGAGACAAGATGCATTTCATCGATTAGACCCCCAAAAGAGCTGGAAGTATTATTTAAAAATAGATTCATTGAAAAAATCTACATTGGGACAGAAAGAATGCACCTCTCTTAAACTGCCATTAACTCCAGTGCCGTACTGCAGACCACAAAATCAAATATAAATCTCACAAATAAAACCGTTAGCATTGCCTTTTACCAATTACATTACTCCACTATCGAAAAGGGTTTCCACACCTGTGCTGTGACTCCAACTTTCTTTGCTGAAAACTTGGGTCTTGGCACCATGGCAATTGACATGGCTGATGACACATAACTTGGAGGTACAAAGGCATTCTCACTCGGAAGAGAGGGTACACCAGAACCCCCTCTAGAACCATAGGCATGATCTTCATCTGCAGAGCTTGCATAAGCTGGAGCTTGATTAAAAGATTGTCCTGTTGGCATAGATGAGACACTCTTAGAAACAGAACAGGCAGCATTAACTGGTGGAGAGATTTGAGTTTGATTCATAGGTGGAAGAGGACCAGGCTTTACAGATTGCTTAGAAAGTGGTGAGCTTTTGGGTGGAAGTGCCTTAGTATCAGATGTGGATGAAAAAGTGAACAAGGATGGATTAAGCTGATATGGCTGGTGTTTCATGACATCCAAGGTATTGAGAGGCTTTTTGCCTTTACCTTTGGCACCTTTATTTGACTTGTTTGAGGAAGTGGACTGTGCGTGTGATTTTATAAGGCCAGGTGGATACGATGGTGAAAGGATTGGGTTGTAAGCCAAAGGGGGAGGTGCTCTTATATTAGACGAATACTTCCAAGACGCTGGCAGGGAAGGGGTAGGTGACGGTGGCCGCGGTTTATTAGCCTTGACTGTTGTTGAGTCTACTATGTATTTCTCCATTCGAGACTGCCTCCTTGCAAACAACGCAGCTCCTTTACCTTTCAAAGCTGGCATTTCAAATGCTGGACCCATACCTCCAGCTGCTGCAGAATGTAATAAGGGAGTTGTGGGAGGTGTTTTGGAACTATGTGAATGTGTTGACACTACTGATTGAGGTCCTGTCGAAGGTGTAAACTGGTTGGTAGCATTGGTAGATGGGTACCAAGAACTAACAGGTTGAACTGGGTGTGATTTTACTGGCATCTGGTGAGTGGCTTCAGAAGAGTTTACAGGAGCTTCAACAGGGATTACTGCCAGAGGCACAGGAGGTGATAGCACAGGTAACAGCACAGGGGTTATCCCAGTGGGAGAGTTCTTAACAGATGGCTTTGGTGCAACTGGAGGAGGGGTCTTCTGCTTTACCGCCGGGGACTGTAAAAAGTTGGATGCTTCCGCACCTAAACTTAGGTAATCTTCTTCAGGTCCCGATTCAAAACCTCCGCCGGGCTGGTCTGCTCCTCTACGTTTGTCTTTGTTGCCTTTCACAAGGGAGAGGAGCTCTGGGTTTGGGGCTACCTTAGGGCGATCCACGAAAGTAAACATTGGCTTTGCAGTGTTTCGTTTTCTCGCGTCTTGCAGAATACCAGTTCTTATTGCAGGAATAGAGATTCTCTCATCTCTGGATGCTATCTGCTCCCCTGCAATGCCTGCAGGTGACCATACACCCGGTTGAGGTGTGGCAACCAAAGGAGGAGATGCAACATGGTAAAGGTTGCCAGGTGGTGGACTAATGGAAGAGTATGGTGGTGGGGGAGGTAAATCTGACAGGGAACTTGTTAGATTTCTTGTAGGGGAAAAAGGAGCAGCAGCTCGGTTTTGCACCCCGGGGAATGGTCTGGCTGTTCTGTTCAGCACACCTGATCTGTTCTCTTCAGCGACTTTAAAGTTTTGGACAATCATCTCAGATGCCACTCCAACTCCATTTACGTTCTCAACCCTAGGATCATAACCACTTGGCTTACTCATGTCCATACCATTTTCAGAGGCATGATTTTGCATCGTGACTGATGATTCATTGACACTGCTTTGCATTACTTGGGAAGAACTGTCTATTTTTACAGACTGCGTAAAGGAAGCTTCAGATACTCTTCCTGATCTCTTTATCTCCTCTTGCTCAGCTGTGTATTGGTCAACCCTCTGCCTCCTCTTGGCAAACATCAAAGCACCCTTGCCTTTGGTTTCTGGTAACCTCTGCATTTCGTCTTCACTCTTGTCCTCCTTCTTCTCGACTTCTCCTAAATCTGTGTCCCAATCAAATGTCACAAGTTGGGTTGAGTTACTGACATCCACATTGAAATCCTCATCAAGATCAGACTCGCTAGTTGATATTAAAGTGAATTCTATGGAATCCTCTTGATCGTCGTCGGGATCAAACTCCCCTGTTCCGTAGCTGACCAAAGTATACTTTTTTGCCCTCTGGCGACGTTTCTTAAACATCAACGCCCCCTTGGAGCTGGGAGTAGGAGTTGCTGTCAAGAGTAAAGCAATGCTTTTACATTTAGACTTAGCTTCCTTAACCTGCTTTTCTGACAGGCTTTCACTCCGACGGATTTCTGTAGGGAACACATGAAACACAAGTTTAAAACTAATGCATGTGGGTATGGAAATAGTTCTCTCAATAAAATATCTACTTCGGAGAAAGGAATCTGAAAGTTAAAACCTTTAAAGCCTGTCACATTGCCTGTTTACAAACAGCCGTCTCGATGGTAAATGAATACAGATCTATTCAAGTTAACAAAGCAACAAGAGAAAACATATTTTATTTTAGAAGTTTAACCAAAGTTTGGAAGCAAAATGCTTTTCATCAGAAAATTTATTTTGCCTGCAAATATTTTACAGAATTAAAACTCAAAGCATATTCTTTAGTGGAAAAATTAATTATTCTGGTGTTTAATTTCTTAGCTGTTAAATCATATAAAATGCTTGATTATAAAACACTGAAGATGCATAAGAGACCATGCTTATCATTTCTTTAAAAAATATTTTGCAATTTTAAAATTGTTGCTTTATGTACCCATTAAGAGCATTCGATTATAGAATTGCAGATTGTTACTGTGCAGAAACAGGCCAATCAGCCCATCAAGTCTGTACTAGTAATTCTTTACTCGAGTCACACCTAGATAATTCTATTCTTTTCAAACCCTATAGTGTTTTCTTACTCTTTTTCAATCATGCATTGAATCCAATTCCCTGTTAAAATAATTTCACATCAAAGAGAATTCCGCATTCCACTTATCTTCTGTGTAAAGCTTTTTTCTCACCTTTCGTTTAATTCCTTTTATGATTAATTTAAATTGGTGCCCATTAACTAGTGGAGATAATTAATTACTAATTAAGGGGAAATAATCTATTACTATGAAAGCTAAAGAAGAAAACAAAGTAACAAAGTAAGTGATATATTTGGTGAGTACCATTAGTCCTGAAGGATTTTATAAGTACACATTTTAACAGCAAATGATTCTTGCGCATAAAATCGGCAGATCTAAAAGTTAACATTTTATGTTAGAAATTGTAAGCAGAGTTGGCTTGTATTATTTGTAACATATTTGATATTTTAAGTTTAAATAAAGAAAATGCCCTCTTCCCTCCCCCCGCACGCCCAGAAGCAGGCAGGTATTTCCCTTTTAAGTAGAGAAAACATGTCAAATTAAATTAATTGCTGAATTTGCATGTTTCATATTTTGAAAGATTACATTGAAATTCCTTGTTTTTCAATATCTTGTTGGCAACAAACATCTTCAACTGCTCGATTTCTAAAGCACCGCTTTCATTTTAACAGCTAATGGCAACAACTTTACATTTACACAGCACCTCTCATGTAAAATAAACGTCTCGAAGAAACATTTCTAACATTGCAGTGTAGTGAGGACTTGTTTAGTACTTCAGTCACCAAATGTTCACTGTGATTAGCATTCACGGAATAACTGTGTAAGGTGTAAATCTTGATTGGATGCAATTAAAATGCTAATAATCTCATAAAGGGATTCCATCAATCCTGTAAATCGCAAATATTGTCTTGATCCCCTGAAGGTAATGGTAGAATACCACAGACCAAGTGATACATAATTTGTGCTTCTAACCCGACTACCATTAACTCTCATACACTTGTAAAACCTTCAGAAACAATCTGAGATATTTAGGACTCCTTCCTTCAAATGTGCTCAAGAGGAACAAATAATTCAATGTAGAGATGCAATGAATATACATATGAATATTAATGAAGATCAGATATTATGTCTACCAAACAGATAAATTTAATCAAACCCGAAGTATTATGTTAAGAGAATAATTTTAAAGTAAGCCTGGTCCTATAATTTACAACGTCCTCAAGTATAAAATATGTCTTACATTTTTCATGTTTCTTTCTGCAAAGAACACTGGCAAACATTACTTCATAAGTACCAACATCCATTCAACCCAGATTGTACTGAAGTTAAAAGTCTGAATATGCTTACAGTATCCAAGGCTCACCTCCCAACTAGAAGACAGGGAACATTCTGAGTTCCCTTTTCACTGGAGTGAAGACTTTGCTATTTCAGCGGATCAAATAACTCCCAGGATTACAACTGTCGGTGTCTGTCAAACCGAGTTCTGCAAACATCATCAGTCTGCAGCCATTAGCTTCATTCTACAGCTACTAACCCTACAAGTAGTACATTAGAACATGACCTCATGCAGCGCTGTTATATATATGTTTTACTAGGGGCAATAATGTTAACAGCATTACATTGTGTCTTATATAAATGTATCAAATGTGCAGGAAAGAATCCTACTTACTGGCCTGCCTGGCCCGGTGCTTGTGGGTTCTTGCAAAATCCTTGCCAGAGCGTGTCTCTTCTGGTCCGTGCTCTGTCCCCTCTGATGAAATTCCAATGGAGAAAGGAGGCGTTCTGTATGTCTTTGACAGCTCTTCTTCAGCTGGAGAATCAGCACACCCACTGCCAACCTCAGGGGTGGAGACCTCCTTTCCACTTTGCTCTCTGTCAGAGCAGTCCAGAGACAGCTCGACTCTGGACTGATTGGAATCCACTCCTGCTCCTTGCCACTCACTTTGGACCAACTTGACGTGTTTGTCACCGCTGCTCTGAAGTGATGTGGCAGCAGTGGTTATCTGGGCTGTAACCTTTCCATCAGTCTCTGACAGTGCTGATTCAGTTCTCTGGCTGTTCACAAGAGGTTTAGTGGGATCTGAAGCTGCAGAGTTGAACGTTTCTGCCCCAATGATGGTCACAGCAGCTGTCTCTGGGTCTCCATCCTTTCCATGCACTAGGGATAACTGGAGTTCCACCACTGCTGGTTGTGTCAGTTCTTTTTGCTCTGCAGAATCACTTTCCTTCATTGACCGCCCAGAGTTTCCGCATTCCTTCAGAAACAATCTGGAGCTGCTCTGTTTCTGCTTCTCTTCTTTCTTCCCTGAAATGTCCGTGTCACTTTCTGTTTCTCCATAATATGCTTCGTCCTGAGACTCAGAGATGTAAAGCTCGAATGGAAGGGACTGCTCGCAAAGCTGTCTGCTGCTTGTAATCTGTTGTGTGGTCTCTACTGCTTTCTCACTCTTTGTCCCTTCATATTCTGTGTACTCTGGCTGATCACTAACAAGTCTGCAGCAAAATGACAAAAAAAAACAAAGGTAACATTAATCAGAGACAGCAATTAAAAACAAATTGGCATTTCAATCTCCACTCTCAACAAGTTTTTTTTAAAATGCTGCTTCAACTGATTTCAAACACTTATTACTGGATTTATCTTTGCACTTTACTTTCTCTTTATGGTGCCATACACATTACTTAGGTTTGCCCAACAAATACGCATGTATTAAAACCAACACTTAAAATGCCCAACAAAACGTTCTATTTTAAATATTGCATGCTGCGGATATTCCTTGGATGCATATTCCGGTCGGTAGCTGCATGACTTTATTTAGGTCATTAGCTCTTTCGTACTCGGCATAGTTGCATCATGATCTAAATTTGTTCCCAATCCAAACAGTTACGTACCAGTGATTGCAGAATATTGCTGTACTTGGGCAACATTTTGAAACAGCGAAGTGGGAGATTTAATCTATGCAGAAACTTTCTATATCCAACCCAAATGCAAGTTTAACACCATTCCAGTCATAATCCACTTTGTGGAAGTTTCTGATCAGTCTAAGCAAATGTTTTCAGGGAATGATTTGTATCTTTTTCAGGGAATGATTTGTAAGCGCTTGTATTTAGGCCAGTGACACAACTCTTGAGCAGAAAGTTAAGAGCGACAATCTGCAGTTGTCTGTGCAAACTATCAGATAACGACCCTCTAATCTAATTACCTAAATATACATTGAAGGCACAGAAACCAGGGGCTAAAATAGCACCAGCGAAGCATTGGTGAGTCAGGCATTCAGAATGATGAAAGCTTCTGTGAGGCATCATTCAGATTTACAGCTTCTTACAGTCAGCCAGACACAAGTCAATTAAATTTTAAACAAGACCGAGGCAATCTACAAGTCAGTTAAATTGCAAATGAGGGAACTAAAAGGTCAAATCTATAACCCAACGCCTCCAAAATTAAGCTGTGAAGCCATTTTAACAGTGTTTACTACCTAATCAATCACTATTGCCTCAGTCAAGTGCACAGTACATGAGACATAAATATATGTTGCAATGTTGGTTAATCCTCACTCTGCTAACTATTTAGGAGTTCTATAGCAGAAACACAACAAATACTGTGAATAAGTGTAAGTTATTAATATTTCTACAGCAATGATAACTTTCTAAAATTCCCATTGCAAAATTGTGTCTTGAATAGGAACGAACCTTAAAAAATATTTTGGAATGTATATATGTCAGTAAAAGAGGATTCACTGAATTAAAATGTTTGATAACAGGAATAATAGAATTGTAATTTGTTGGTGTATCTCACCATCCAATAGAATTGTGATTTATATCAATAACAAAAATCTTTGGAGGTGAAGGGACATGCAGATAAAGCTGTCAAAAAATCATACAGGTTACTAGGCTTTATAAATAGGGGCATAGAATACAAAAGTCAGGAAGTTATGATGAACCTTTATAAAACACTAGTTACAACAACAACAACAACAAGATTCCATTTATAGAGCGCCTTTCACGTCAGGAGGACGTCCCAAGGCGCTGCACAGTTGGGTCATGACCGAGCAGGGGGGAAATGGTCAGGGTGAGGGGAGGGAAGGGAGGGAGAGAGGAGGGGGGAAATGGTCAGGGTGAGGGGAGGGAAGGGAGGGAGCGAGGAGGAGGAAGAGAGTCGAGAGGGGAGCTGAAGGCACGGTCAAAGAGAAAAGTTAGGCCTCAGCTGGAGTACTGTGTTCACTTCTGGGCATCACACTTTAGGAAGGATGTCAAGGCATTGAAGAGGGTGCAAAGGAGATTTATTAGGATGGTACCAGGAATGAAGGACTTCAATTATCAGGAAAGGCTAGAGAAGCTAGAATTATTCTCCTTGCAGCAGAGATGGTTAAGAGGTTAAGAGGAGACTTAACAGAAGTTTTCAAATTTATGAGGGGATTCGATAGGGTGCACAAGGAGAAACTATTTCCACTGGTGGGTGGGTCGGGAACCCGAGGACTCTGATTTAAAATATTTGTTAAAAGAAACAGAGGGGAGGTGAGGAGAAATTTTTTTACACAGCGAGTTGTGTACCAACCCGCCCGCTCCGTCCGCTAAGCTGGCTCCGGCCTGCTCCATGTCCCCCGACCCACTCGCCCCACCATTGGGGGGAGAGCCTTCAGCCACTCTGCCCCCAACCTCTGGAATTCCATCACCCAATCACTCCGCCTCTCCCCCTCCTTAGCCACTTTCAAGTCCTGCCTCAAAACCCTCCTCTTCGACCATGCCATCGGTCACCCCCTTCCCCTCCCATCCCTCCTCCCCCCCTGACCCCAGCTCAGGTCTGAAATGCTGTACACTGCCCAGCGCCTTGGGACATCCTCTTGACGTGAAAGGCGCTATACAAATGTAATATGGTTGTTGATGTTCGGATCTGGAATGCATTGCCTGAAAGGGTGATGGAAGCCGATTCAATAACAACTTTTAAGAGAGAACTAGATAATTATTTTGGGAGGACAAGTTTGCAAGGCTATGGGGAGAGAACAGGGGAGTGGGATTGAATTGGACAGCTCTTTTCAAAGTGCCGGTACGGACACGATGGTCCGAATGGCCTCCTTCTATGCTGTATAATTCTATGATTCTATGAACGACATCTTCCCTTTTGCCCTTACAATAACAACATTCACAATATTTTTAACTATTCTAATTTTGTAAAGTGTTGTAGAAATCACATCATGCTGTGGCACCTCCCTACCTACCGACCAGCTTACACCCCACTCCAATGCCCATTGCCTTTGCTTAGCTGTCTCTGGCTTCCCGTATGTCTCTCATCCCCTCTGGTCCACCATTGGAGGCTGTGCCTTCGGGCACTTCACCCGAAATATGGAACTCTGACTCAACCTCTGTCTTGCTTCCTTCTTCCTCATCTTCAGAACACACCTGAAGACCGTGCTCTTTGACCGTGCTCTTTGACCATGCCTATGGCCACCTCCCCTCTCTCCCCTTCTCAGCATCAAGCTCCGCCACTGTTAAGCGCTCTGAAACACTGCCCAGCATGAAGAGCACTATATAAATGTGAGTTATTGATGTTTTGAAATGATTATTTTACCCCAAAGTGCTATATAATTGTAAGCTTTGTGCTTCCAATAATGTTTAAACTTGATGACAGAATGATGATATGGGCTAAACCTTGTCTTTTCATCTCAAAGTTCGGATTGAGTCCTAGCCGATAGAATAAATAGTTTGATTTTCTCCTTTAATTATGCTTTAAAGGAGATAGTGTTATAATAATGTGCAAAATGAGGTTAGGTGGTAATAGAAAGATAACAGTATAGTAGATTTGTGCTAGGTTTGATTGATACTGAATTACATTGAGTGATATAGAGTGATATGGCAAGTGCTCAGGTTATCTGGTCCAACCAGTCCATGCCCGTGTTAATACTTCAAACACGCCCCTACCACTTCTATTCCCCTCAACTATACCCCTTCTCCATCATGTATGCAGCAAGTTTTCTCTTAAATACATTGGCAAAGTAGTATGGAAATCTGCTACAAAGAATTTTGGGGGCCAATGTGATTTCCCAGTTCACTCTTTGCACACTTACTGCTTTGGACACACAAATCAAGTGAAGTATAAAGCACACAATATTTCCTGATGTGAAGGGAAAGGGATGATTCTGTTAAAACAGTCAAAGGCTAAGCAAGCAGAATGTAGACAGGAGAGGTTGAACGTCTGTGATTGGTATTTTGTAGAGATAAGAAAAGCTGTAAAGACATACAACTCCTCAAGGATGGATTTCCGAATTCTTGGAGGTCTACATATGTCAAGGACGCAGCTGTGATTCTGAGCTCCAGTGAGTGATTTGAAATGTGTAGGATGGATGTTATGCAAAAGGAATTCCTACCAGTGAATAGAAATAATAATCAAGATTTTTCTGAATTAAATATATGTACTGAAAATAAGATTTGTAATAAATATGGAGTTGCAATGCCTCAATTAATTAAACATTGCATTGAACAAGAGGAACTTAAAGACCTCCTAAAATATATGTAATTTGCAACATTAACTCCTATTATTAGCTGCTCGTTCAATCGTGTATATAACATTGCTCAAGTTCTGCTTGTTTATTCAGATGCAATGTGTAATTTAATATTTCAAAAATGGCATGGGTTCCTGCTCTCCCATTAGTTAATGAAGCAACAAAACTGTTGCTGGAAAATATCTTTATCTTAGCCCATCAAACAATTGTAGCAACGTCTGTCTTAGCCTACTCATTTCTCATGAAACACTTTTAACAAAAACGTGGATTTATATTGTACCCTTCAAGCTTTGTGATGCCTCGGAACACTTTTAACCCCTGTTGAGAACTACTGCATTCTTATTCGATAACAGACTTTTGTTAGAGATGGTGGGTCTGTCTCTCACACCTCCACAAAGCACTATTTTACAGCTTCTGATATTTTATTATTAACTTGTGGCTAGGCCTCAATTTTTGAAGGACAAGTTTGGACAGCCTCAGCCGTCCTCCTAATGAGCTCCTGTTCACAGCCAGAGCCTTCCCAAAATTCAATTGATTTGGAACTATTGTGGGTAGTTCCAAATCAATTGTGGATCTAACTTGGACACAGGATCACAAGATTGGTTTGGATGAAGAAGGTCCTTTGGCCAATCTGATCTCTTCACTCCAGATTACCCACTCAACTGTCCACCCATCACAGTATCAAGCTACATTTTAAAAGAGTCCAATGTCCTGGCTTCAACCACCCTTCTGGTACAATGTTCCAGTTGTTAATTATCCTCTGAGGAAAAAATGCTTCCTGGTATCTTCTGAAATTGCTCTTTACATCTCTAAACCCATTCGTCATGTTCTTCTATCTTAGTACATCTGAAAGTATTATTCTGGGTTTACTTTTTCAATTCCATTTGAACTTTTATGCACTGCTATAATGTTCTTTCTGAGTTGCATTCTCTCAAGACAGAAGGCATCAATGACTGATGTGGGAAATGAAATAGTGACATAGCAGACAGAGCTTTTACTCAGTATCTAATCCATGCAAGTTTGATGAGCACCAACATTCAAGCCCTTCACTCCAAAATATGTCACATTTTCTTTGAAAATCCGTTCTCTCTCTCTGGTTCTCTTACTCTTCTGCCATGTATCTCCTTTCACAAACTGCTCAGTGTCATGTACAGAGCATGGAATAACCCAGCTCACATGGTATTCTATTGCTATAAAAGGCAGCCAGGAATAGTAAACCAAATCATAAGAGCTGGCTGATGCCATTTCTTCCTTCCAGCCATTAATGGAATTCCTTGTTTCTAAATAGTGCTCCATCTAGTGGGCTCCATGTGAACCAAAGCTTCATCCAATCCATACAAATGGATAATTTATAAGTGAACATTGAACAACAACCACTAATCTTCTGGTTGGCTGGAAAATGAACTGGCCAGTGCACAGCATCTTTCCTATTATGGTCAGTGTTGCCAGAGAGAAAATTAATATTTAATGACAAAAAATGCAAACATCACTGCCCACTTCTTGAAGGGGTTTGAAGAAATAGTAACAGCGTTTCAGAGTTACTGTGAAGTTTGTAGAACAACATCAGAAAGAGTTTATCACATTGACAAAGGGTATTATATAGATGTGTACAAAACAGTCATGAAGTGAACTCGAACAAAAGTTGTTCAATTTTCCTTCATTATCTTAATTCTTTAATTTAGAAAATTGGACGTACAGAAAACCAAAATAATCAAAATAAATTAAGGAATGCAGGCTTCCTAGGATAGAGGTTCCAACAGGGTCCAGATTGCCTCTATTTTTGTACCATTTTAGTGCAGTTAGAATTTGGTAAATTCTAAAATACCGCTTTAATTTAGAATCAATTTTCTGTCAGTTCTTTTAAGAACTATGGAAAACTGGTTTCAAAGCTGAGACTTAAATCAACAATTTGCAAAACACAGCACACTCTGAAATGCTATGTTAATAGAGTAAATTTAAACCATGTGGAATTTATCCCTACCTGTTTCTTTTTGTGCTTTCTACCATCTCTAATAGGATATATTATAAACAATACATTTTTTATTCATTGAAAAATATAGTGGGATATCAGTGCTCCACCTTTTAATGAGGATTTGCAGGGTGTCACTTGTCCCATCTACCAGTTGCATGGCCTCTGAATGGGATAAATCTGAAGTAGGTTTACCATTGATGGCAACCAGTTCATCTCCCTCACACAGTCCAGCTCTGCAGGCTTTGCTCTTCTTCCGAACCTGGAAATGATAAGACACACAAACAATATTTACTATTAAAAACAGCCCATTTTTGATGACGTTGTAAGGTTATCAGCAGCGAGTCCTTTTATGCACAAAATATCAAAGGGTAAATAAAGACCTGCATGTTCAAATGGATTGTTAGATATAGGAGTTTGAATCATGCATTGAAACGATCCGGCTAGTTAAAACCTTTCAGTTGACAATGGACTTGGAGCTAGAAGCTTCTGGGTAATTGGGTTGAACTAAGGTCTCTCTGGACCAGTGCTTTACAAAAGGCAAGGAACATCTGCAGGAATCCAAAACCAATGGAAAATCAGTCTGTGCAGTTCATCAATGAGACTTGGAAGTATGGACATGTCTTTAACTTTGTGAACCCATGGACTAAGCAGATTGAGCTATCCTAGCTGGATACATACCATGAAACATATCAGTAGTTCATAATGATAAATTGCACAATTACCTGTAGATGTATTATTAATATTTTCCCTCACCATGTATATTACAAATCCACCCATAGTGTCACTGTAGAAATTTCCATCTCTAGTTTCCACAGGTGCTCTCACAGAAGGCATTGGGTATTATTAATGTAATTGAACACAACCAGCAATGATTCCTTTGCTTGTCAAAGACCAATTAGTGCCATAGCAAGTTCTGCATACAGAACTTTGGATTGTCGTGGCTTCCCTATTAGTGGCAAAAGACATGAAACTGTGGCTGAGATGAGTGTCAGCTTGGCTCAATTGGTAGAACTCTCAGCTCTGAATCAAGCTCCTAATTCAGAGGTGAAAGAGCTACCAACACTCCATCAACACTTGGGAGCGTAAATCTAGGCTGTCTAAATGAAGTGTTGGTGGTATGTTTCATTGTTGAGGTGCTGTCTTTCAAATGACATGTTAAATCTGTTTTGGGATATTAAAGACATCATGGCATTATGCGAAAAGAGAAGGAAGTTTCTCCCAGTGTTCTGGCCAACAATCCCCATAGGTATAGATATCAGGAAGAGCAAAACTTCTTTCAAGATAACATTGACCCACTTTCCTTTCTCCATAGATGCTGCCTGACCTGCTGAGTATTCCCAGCGATTTCTGTTTTTGTTTCAAATCCCCATAAGTATAATTGGTCATTCACTATATGTCTGTTTGTGGCAATTGCTGTATGCAAATTCTGTGTTGGCCTAAAATATACACAGTCACTACACTTTCAAATAAATCCTGTGAAGCACATTGAGAAGTCCACCCAAATTGAAAGGCGCCATATCAAATGCAAAGAATATTATTATAGTGGCAACAACCTGCATATAATATGAGTACCCGCAGGTCCTGTTTCTGTTTTGTTGCTGATTACTAAAACTACATTATATCCAGCATGAAAGAACAGGATGTTTGCAGGGACACACAGATAAGGTACACTTGGAGGTTGTTTGACCAGAGTTCTGCATCTGGCACACAAAATTGAAAATTATTTTCTAAGGTTTTAAGAAACGTGTGAAGTAAAGTGACACTTTATTTAATTCCTTTGAATCTCTGATTATAAACAATTTTCTAAATCACAGTACCTGTATTAAATCAACTTGGGCTAAAAATCCTTTCAATTGTCTTCAGAGGTCAAATTCTACAGTATGATATAATTAACTAAGTTCCTCAAAATTCGTATTTACTTTGTGTTTTGTCCATACTGTATCAGAGAAGCACTTCCTGATATGGTTCACTTATCCCTGTTTCCAGCTCTCTGTTTATTACGGGGCAGTGTTACAGCGCTTGATTTAATCTTAAAACAACTTGTGTGCAAGTTCAGGAATGTGACGGTCTTTAAAAATCGGCTTTTGCCAACATGGCAAAAAGTTTTTGGCAGTGTGTTAGCTTTTAAAGTATATAAGATTGTAAATGGGATTGATAAAGTAAACCCAGAACAATACTCTCAGATATGCCAAGACAGTAGAAAAAGAGGACACATACACCGAGAAGTAATTTTGTTTTACACACAGGGTATTTAACAACTGGAACAAGTTACCAGGTCAGGTCAGGACGCTGAGGGTACAGTCTCCCATGGCACAAGCATCACTGTATTTACATTGGGAGTCTCCTGCTTTTGGTAATCGTGCCATCAACAGCAAAGTTGTAGTGTGAATGGGGAGATCTGACAAAAATTGAACCTTAATTCAATTAAGGTTCAAGCTCAGTGGTCAGAGCACTCGCCTCGCAAGCAAGAGACCTGGGTTCTATTCCCGGGAGGGCAGCATGTTGGGCAAGTTTCTTTACTCCGCTCGCCTGTTTACCTAGGAGTGAATAGGAACCCGGTTGTTAGTTGATTGGCGGATCGTTTTTCCGGGTATATTCTGTGAAGCCTCTAGAAGACATGAAAAGCGCTATATCAAATGCAAAGATTATTATTATTATTAATTCAGATGCCAATTTTTTCTCTCACTTCTTCCCCACATTAATTTAGGAACATGGAACTGTGCAGAGCAGCCATGGCCAATTCCCTGAATATTTCTTTGCAAACCACAGTTTTTGGATGAGCAATAATAATCTGACTGAATAAGGGCATGATGAAGGATGAATGTTCGTGCTCAACAGCAATCTGCAGCAGCCTCTCCAGTAATCTCTCATATCAATTTAATGAACAATAGTGACCTCTACAGGTTAAACCTTTACACAGCATAAATGATTCATATCTCTTTACCATGTTGTCTTCCCCCCACCCCCCCATCCCCCTTGGCTTTGGTGCCCAGCCGGCATTAACAAGTACTTTGAGACATTCTCCCAACATGAAAAGCACTATACTATAAATTGTATAGTATATTTTTACACTGCTGTGCGCAATTGGCTGCCGCGTTTTGCCCACAAAAATATACGATCAATTCTGTGAAGCGCTTTGAGCCATCTCGAAGATGTGATAAGGCGTTATATTAAATGAAGGATTATTATTATTATTACAATTATTATATTAAAATTATTACTGATGTTCCTTTAATTCTTTACCGTGAAATAGTTCCTTATTTATGATATGAATTCTAAATCTAATTTTAGCAGTCTATGGGGTGATTCTCTGACTGTTGGTAAACTTAAACTTGGCAGATGTTTACATTCCCTACTGATCAGTAAATGTAGTGACTATTGCTTCTGAGACTTACATTTTCCTATTGGATTAAGTTCAGTAGTTCATTAGAGATTTATCAAATCGGATGTGCCAGAGGTGGACATTTATCAAATTTCCAAAGAAATGCTTCTAATATCATTCTCAGTAAATGCCTTTATTATGTGGACTGAGATGGTAGTTTGTGATGGGAGGACTGCAGGGGGTTATTCTGGAAGGAAAATAATAATGATAATTCTTGCATTTGATGTAGTGCCTTATCACGTCGTTGAGAAGTCTCAAAGCGCTTCACAGACTCTATTGTAAAGTGAATAAACTGCATATTTTGTGGGCGAAACGTGGCAGCACAATGCGCACAGCTGTGTCCCAGAAACAACTGAGTGACCAAATTATTTTTTTACAGGATTATTACCCCCAGAAAGTGATCCACCAATTGACTGACAACCCGAGTCCTACATAGTGCAGGTAAACAGAGGGGTGTGGAGTAAGGTAACTATCCTAAGGGCCTGGCTCCTCTCGCTTGCGAGGTGAGTGCTCTAACTAATACACTACAGGACTCCACACCGTGAGCTCAAATGGACAAAAGGGTTTTTTCATCCAAACCAATCTTGTGATTTGTGGTTTAAATTGAGAAATTCATAATGTAACGGTTAGGAATCATGCACATGTGTCAGAGGTGGACTCCTGACCAAACCTTCTCGTCATTACAATTCTCATGGTATTGGCGACTTCTGCAAAGCACATCTGATTTCCGACTCACAAATCATGGCATTCGATTGCCAGTTAGAGTGATTAAGGCTTTTTACTAAACAGAACACTCAAGAATAGTAAAATGTATTGAAAAACAAATGACCTTTTGTGGATACTTGCAGTGATAACCCCAAACAGCCCACACTGCATTCTCCATCCTTACCCTCAACGGCTGAGTTATACATAACTCTGCATGTTCTCACCAACAAACTCTCTGGTTGAATCGATTGTAAATGATCCCAGCTTTGTCCAAAAAAAATTCTAGAGTATATGGTTTAATCGTTATGCAGTATAAGTCCTGTCATCATTTGTTCTAAATAAGGAATGGTTACATGACCTTAAAACCTTTCCCAAGGAAAGCCACCCACAATTTCCACTGAATGGAGTGGAAATTTCTCAACATATATTCGAGGACAGAGGATCATTAGTATCTGTATTCTTTTTGACAAAAGTGCCCCTGCCAACAAAGTCACAGTAAAGTAATTCCCTGTTCAGAATCCTAATTAGTTTTTACACTATATACAGTACCTATTTAATAGAGACCTTAATGATCTAAAGGTCCTATAATGGCTCAAGGGAAACACCAGCTCAGTCATAAAGATTCATTCACCACATGTTAAATGGAAAACACAGCTGGTTTATAGAACACTTTAGGATCGCTGCCTTATAGGGTCAGTTCTTAGGAACACTACCACTAATCTATCACATGCATTACACTTGGATGTAAATACTTTAGAGCAAATTAAATACAGCAAGTTTAGTGCTTGGATTCTGTATGACCCCCTCTTACAGTTGACATAAACTGAATCCAGTAGTAATGAGCTCTGGTCAACAGATGGTGCTGCTGTTACCATAAAGTCTATGATTACTAGTTACACCAAAGGATAAGTAATAATATTGCATTTTTATATATATACTGTACCACCTTATCACATCACAAATCTTTTCACAAGTTATAGATGCCAAATGCAGTTGTAGGCAAACTCAGCCATTTTACTTACAGCAAAAAAACACAAACAGGAATGCGATGAATGAATAATATCTCTCTTGACCAGGACACTCCCAGATATTCACTGCTTTTTTTGTAAATTGTGTCATCAAATCTTTAACGCCCACCTGTACAGGCAGATGGGATATTAGTTTAACAATCT